GTTTCCAGGAGTTTTTACTAACATTTGATCCACCTGCCTGTACACTGCAGAATTTACTTGGTATAAAATTGCCCATCTTCCCTGACTCTGAGCTGTTGTGACTCATCCCAAAAGCCCAGAACTAGGGGGGGAGGGGGGAGAGAAATCTGTGGAGAACAGTGAAACCTCGGGCCAAAATCACTTTCTGTGTTAGTTCTATTTTCATTCACTATGTGACATAAATTAGCCCCATGTGAGAGAGCAATCTATTAGAATATTCACGATCAGTCCTTATACATAAACTAAATCAAAATTTCAACATACACACTTGGAAAAAACACTGGAATGGATAACTGAAAGATCATAAAAATGAGCAGGAGAAAAATTTCAAAGGGACGTCTAAAACTACAGACTTTGATGTAAACAAACATGTCTATTATTATTAGATGCTGATGAAGCTATATTTTTATTAGCCATAATTTTAGACCAGTCACTTCTCATCCATAAAACTCTCTGTAGTGGCAAGTAGCCAGAATTCTTGGGATGATGTGTCATAAACCTTTTGTATCAAAAACCTTTTGGAATATATTTGACAAGATATAACAGTACATGGTGTCAGGTCTGGCTTCATGCCTTAAGAAAGAACAGATTAAGCCAAAAAGATTGATAGTGATTGCTATGACTATTATATGCTTGTTTATTCTCTACAGTGATGAAGAGGAGAAAAAAGGCAAACATTTCTAAATATCCATTGATTAAAAACACAACACAACTTTCTTATCCTAGAAATAATGTGCTATACGGATATTTTCTAAGCCATCTAAATTTGAGGTGCAGTCTGTTTTCTTAGCATGCGCGCGCTCTCTCTCTCTTTCTCTCTCTCTCTCTCTCTCACACACACACACACACACACACATTCTCTCTCTCACACACTTTGAAGTTTCTAATATCTTATTTACACAAAACTGAGCTTTTAATCGATGAAAACAATGAACTATCATCTCCCATTTTAGCTTTACATCAGCAGCTACAAGAATAGTGCTTACTGGGCCTCCCTGGTGGCCCAACAGGTTAAGCATCACACTGTGAAGCAATCCACAGCCTCTGCAACATGAGTTCAATCCCCAGCCGGCCAGGGAACAACCCACATGGCGCAGCAGACCTTTCCTGTCTCGCCCACTGATCCCCTCAGCAGTGTATTTCAGTCAGTCTGCCTGTTCCCTACTCTGTCTCTGGTGAATCCTCTCACCCTCCCGCACATGCTGGCCTGTACCCCAGTTCTTGTATGCATAAATAAATAAATCTTTTTAAAAAAAATTTTTTAATAAAATACAAGCAAATTAAAATCAGCAATATACAAAAATGATAACATACCATGGCCAAATTGGAGTTACCTGAACACTGTAAGGAAGATTTAACACTTAAAAATTAAAATAACAAAAAAGGAGAGTTGGGAACAGGTAAAAGTATGATCTCAACAAATATAGAAAAACAAGTGATAAAATTCAGCAACCATTCATGATTAAAAAAACAAAAAACTCCAAGCACAGTGTTGGTGGAAGGAAACACTCTGAATCTGGCATAAGGTTAGGGTGGTCTTAAAACGACATACACTGGGGGATCCCTGGTGGTGCAGGGTTTAAAGTCTCAGTACTATCAAGCTATTGCCAGCCACTGCAACATGAATTAGATTCCTGGCCAGGTAGCCAACCTACATGGTGCAGGCTCTGCTCCCCACTCTCTCTCTGGTGAATCCTCTGAGCCCCTCCCACACACACATCTCTGGCCTACACCCCAGTTCTTGTATGCATAAAGTAAATCTTTAAAAAAAAAAATAGACATATTTGAGACACTTATTCTCTTACAGTTATGGAAGTCAGTAGTCTCAGATGGGCTCATTGAGCTAAAATCAGGGTGTCTAGACCTCAAGGGTCTAAAGGAGAATCATTTACTTGCCTTTTCCAGATTCTAGAGACTGTGAGAGCATGTGCAGATCTCTTCCATCTTCACATTAACCATGACCAGTCAAGTTTTTCTCACATTGCATCACTGTGACTCTCAGTCTGTCATCTGCTTCCACATACTAGAATACTTGTGATTACCATGGGCCCACAAGGCTAATCCAGGATAATCTCATTTTAAGGTCAACTCATTTGCTGTCTTAATTCCATTTATTAACATATTTCCAGGGGATTAGGACATGGACATCTTTGGGAGGGGAGCACTATTCTGCCTGTCACAGTCCATACATATACAGATTTGTCAACACACCCCTGGATTATTTCAGAGCAAATCCCAGACATCCCAATATCTCACTCACAGCTATTTCAGCATACATTATTAAAAGAGAAGAATTCTTTAAAAAGAAAACAATCACACCTAAAAAAAAGTAATTTATTAAGATCATGAACTATCAAGAAAGTATTTAGACTTCATTTACTCTAAGGTTTTTTAAATATTTTGCAGTTAGGAGGATAATTCTTATCCTTGAATAATGGCACTGAATAATTTTCTATTAAAAAACAGTATTTCTAAGGACTCCCTAATATTACTACAACCTTATGAATTATACTGTTGGCTACATACAAAAATGAAACCAAATATTAATTCCTCAAGTATGTGACTCTCATATGTTTATAAAATAAGAAATTTTTTTTAAAGAAAACCCTAAGGTTTTACTTTTTTTAAAGATTTATTTTATTTTATGCATGTAAGAGCTGGGGTATAGGCCAGAGGTGTTGGGGGTGAAAGAATTCAGCAGAGACAGAGTGGGGAGCAGAACAGGTAGATCCACTGAAATACACTGCTGAGGGGAGCAGTAGGTGAGACAGGAGAGGTCTGCTGTGCCATGCGGGTTAGTTCCCTGGCTGGGGATCGAATCTGTGCTGCAGTGGCTGTGGACAGCTTCATGATGCTGAGACTTGACCCCTTGGGCCACCAGGGAGGCCCAACAAATATTCTTGGACCCAGTTTGATAAACCTATGGACCCAGTTTGATAAACCTATGGACCCAGTTTGATAAATACTTATTGTATCATTGAACTACATCTCTGTAGTTCATTTTGAAATTAGTTGTATCATATCCTGTAAAAGTTCTTGATTATTGCCTAAAACTGTTGCTGAATTTCACCACTTAATTCCCATTCATCAGTGCACATTTTGGTCACCTACTGTTTGCTAGTCCTTTCTCCTAGATGGGAAGCACAATAGTGAGTAAAACTTGGAGAACAGCTTATAGCAAATTTTCAAAAGGTTATATATTATCAGAACAACGGGATATAAGCTCTATGAAGATGGAAACCAGGTCTTTCCCATCTTTATACTCCCCAAGAAGTCTAACAGAATACTTAATAAAATGTATACTCAAATCAATGTTCAGTAATTAATTAGACTTAAAAGTCTATTTTAATCATTCAGTTAAATTTGGCAAACAGATTTGGAAAGAAAGAATCAAATCATCCTATTTGTTTTCTGCTGTAGAATGTAGAGGCAAGTGAAGCATGCATGTTTATGTGTTAGCAATTATGGTGAAGGGGAGGATGTTGGTGATAGCGACAATGTGACAGCCACAGTGGTAATTTGGAGTCAAGCAATTCAGAAAGTTGACCTCGCTGGGTGCAGATCCTTAACAGCCAGCATAATAGATGGATTGCTATTATGGGTCAACGGTGATGGATGGAATTTGCTCAGAATAGCACACACATTCAGCTCTTTGGGGACCATGAACATTTATCACTGATGATTAATCCTTTCATGAGTCCATTTTGAAGTGAGCAGAGCTCTTTTCTTGCACTGTTTGTTCTTTATGTATCAGACCCACAGTCTGGCTCATTCAAGAAATGTTTACTTTGTGGAACTATGCTATGTATAGAACTTCTGAGAATTTAAAAATGGAATTCTGTGGTAGTTTTGCCACAGCACCTAGAACTATCTCATATTTTCTACCACGTATCCAGCCTTTATAGTTGTCTCCTACCAGTGATACTCTTTGGTTTGTGTTATAATAAATCCTTTCGGAAAATTCACCACAAGAAATTCACCAAGTTTTATTCAGCTGGTATAAATTTCAATATATTACCTGAAAGGTATCCTACATTAATAGACATTAAGATAACATTAATCCGGGCCTCCCCGGTGGCGCAGCGGTTGAGCGCTGGGTGGCGAAGCTGCCCGCAGCCTCTACAGCGCCCGTTCAATCCCCAGCTGCTCCCCAGCCCGATCCCCAGCTGCTCCCCGGCCACCAGAGGAGGGTCCCACATGGCGCGCAGACCTCTCCTGCCGCCCGCTGCTCCCCTCAGCAGTGTACTTCGGTCCTTCTGCCCGCTCTGCTCCCCGCTCTGCCTCTGGTGGAATTCTCTCACCCTCCCGCGCTTCTGACTGTACCCAGTGCTTGTATAAATAAATAAATAAATAAATCTTTAAAAAAAAAAAAAAAGATAACATTAATCCTTAGGAAGGATGTACTTAGGAGTCAGGTGACTTTTGAAACATGACATGAGCTGCTGTTCAAGAGAATGGATAAAATTGGTGGCTTTAGGAGAATGGGACTAGAGCAACATCATAAAAGGAGTGTTATTATCATGATTACATAAATCTGGGTGTTTAGTTATTCATGTCCATACTCATCGCTGACTATAGTATAAATCCCTTAAGGGTGGAGACCAGATTGTGCACATCTCTGTATCCCAGCAGTAGAATTCAAAGTGTACTTCATAGATCAACACTAATGCCATAGCCTGGAAGCTTATTAGAAATGCAGAAAAACAGGCGCCATCCCAGAAACACAGAATCAAAATCTGCATTTGAAAAAACCTGCAAATGATTTAAAATTTAAGACTGCTCTACAAGACTAGTGTAAAGCCTTATGCACCTTAAGATTCAACTCATGTGCTAATTATCCTCCAAAAAGCCTTTTTTTTGAAAGCCTCCTTTCAAAAAAAAAAAAAAAAAAAGGCTTACTTTTTCCCCCTCTCAGAGTCCGGGGCTTACTGCCTGTGCTCAGCTTTGCCTCCGCAGCCGAACAGCTTGGATATTGGCCAACACCATGGGTTTTGGAGACTTGAAAAGCCCCACAGGCCTCCAGGTGCTCAAAGATTACCTACAGGACAAAAAGCTACATCCAAGGTATGTGCCCTCCCAAGCAGATGTGGCAGTATTTGAAGCAGTTTCCCACCCACGACCTGCCGACCTGTACCATGCCCTACATTGGTATAACCACATCAAGTCTCTCAAAAAAGAAAAGGCAAGTCTGCCAGGAGCGAAGAAAGCTTTGGGCAAGTATGGCCCTGCTAATGTGGAAGACACCACAGGAAATGGAGCTACAGATAGTAAAGATGATGATGACATCGATCTTTTTGGATCTAATGAGGAGGAGGAAAGTGAAGAAGCCAACAGGCTAAGAGAAGAATGTCTTGCACAGTATGAGTCAAAGAAAGCTGAGAAACGTGCACTTGTTGCCAAGTCTTCCATCTTACTAGATGTGAAACCTTGGGATGATGAGGCAGATATGGCAAAGCTAGAGGAGTGTGTCAGTAGCATTCAAGCGGACGGCTTGGTTTGGGGCTATTCTAAACTAGTTCCAGTAGGGTATGGAATTAAGAAACTTCAAATACAGTGTGTGGTTGAAGACAATAAAGTTGGAACAGATATGCTGGAGGAGCAGACCACTGCTTTTGAGGACTATGTGCAGTCCATGGACATGGCTGCTTTCAACAAGATCTAAAATCCATCATGGGTCATGATCCTTAAATAAAAAATTGAAAGACAGAAAAAAAAACCTAAAAAGAAAGGCTTAATAAATTATAAATTGATCAGATATGTAAGACTGAGAGATAAAACATAGGATTAACAGTTTGAAAGAGGGCCTCCCCGGTGGCGCAGCAGTTGAGCGCTGGGTTGTGAAACTGCGCGCAGCCTCTGCAGCACTGGTTCGATTCCCAGCTGCTCCCCAGCCACCGGAGGAGGGTCCCACATGGCGTGCAGACCTCTCCTGCCGCCCACTGTTCCCCTCAGCAGTGTACTTCGGTCCTTCTGCCTGCTCTGCTCCCCGCTCTGGCTCTGGTGAATTCTCTCACCCTCCTGTGCTTCTGACTATACCCAGTGCTTGTATAAACAAATAAATAAATCTAAAAAATAAATAAATAAAAGCAATGGAATGTTTAAGAAACCTTTAAAAAAAAAAAACAGTTTGAGGGCCTCCCCAGTGGCGCAGCGGTTGAGCGCTGGGTTGCTAAGGTGCCGGGAGCCTCTGCAGCGCCGGTTCAATCCCCGGCTGCTCCAGGCCACCGGCCACCGGAGGAGGGTCCCACATGGCGCGCAGACCTCTCCTGCCCCCCTGCTTGCTCCCCTCAGCAGTGTACTTCGGTCCTTCTGCCTGTTCTGCTCCCTGCTCTGGCTCTGGTGAATTCTCTCACCCTCCCACGCTTCTGACTGTACCCAGTGCTTGTATAAATAAATAAATAAATAAATATATCTTTTAAAAAAAAAAACCAGTTTGAAAGAGAAAGAGCAAGCACTATAAAACATGCACACATTAGGAATACTGTACTTCATGTGATCCTACTATTATAATTGTATGGCAAAAGAACTGGATATTGTAGAATATCTGTCCTCAAAGTGAGGTATTGGCCCTGGAGGTGAGCAAAATAATCCATTGGATTACAGGGAGAAACTATTAAAATATCTATTTGCATTTTAATTTCTAGCAGGAGCAATCCTAGTATTTAATATTCAGGCTGACATCAGTACCTATATTCAGTGATTATGTCAGACATTACAAAAGGTTAGCAGTAGCACTATCAGTTTATTTATAGTTTCTGTAATTTATGTGTCTTAAGTAAATGTAACTAAATGGACAAATTACTTTTAAAGATTCTTTCAAAGGGGGATGCAGATTTTAAAGATGGAAGGGGTAAGAAGATACAGAGAGAAGATAATCCAAGGAACCGAAAGCAAAGCAAAAGGCAGTGGAGCACTAAGAATCCATAGGCAGGCTCTTTGTCAATCAATTTGGGTTTGCCTCTGTTTACCTCTGTATTTACAGTCACCTTGATCAAAGCTAAAATCAAAAGAGTCAAAGTATTAAAAGTGTTGGTCTTCAGGGCCTCCCTGGTGGTACAACCTATGAAGCTAGCCGCAGCCACTGCAGCACAAGTTCGATCCCCGGCCAGGGAGCTACCCATATGGCACAGCAGACCACTCCTGACTCACCTGCTGCTCCCCTCAGCAATGTATTTTAGTCAGTCTGCCTGTTCTTTTCCACACTCTGTTTCTGGTGAATCCTCTCACCCCCTACACCTTTAACCTATACTCCAGTTCTATTTTTTTTTTTTTTTTTTTTAGTGGGACCCTCGCCAGAGGCCGGGGAATGAACATGCGCTGCAGAGGCCACAGGCAGACTTGCAGCCCAGCGCCCTTCTGCTTGCACCACCAGGGGAGGCCCCCTGTTTTTTTTTTAAGATTCATTTATTTATGCATACAAGAACTGGAGTACAGGCCAGAGGTGTGGGCGGTGAGAGGATTCACCAGAGACAGAGTGTGGAACAGAACAGGCACACTGACTGAAACACACTGCTGAAGGGAGCAGCGGCCTAGACAGGAGAGGTCTGCTGTGCCACGTGGGTAGCTCCCTGGCTGGGGATCGAACTCAAGCTGCAGTGGCTGCGGATAGCTTCATAGGTTGCGTCTTAATCCCTTGCGCCACCAGGAAGGCCCTGTACCCCAGTTCTTGTATGTATGAATAAATAAATCTTTAAAAAAAGAAGTGTTGTTCTTCAGATAAGGGTTTCAAAATGGAGTAGAAAGACCACAGACTTCTGTTTATCTTACCAAGTCTTTTAAAACTGGTTGATTCGGGCCTCCCTGGTGGCGCAGCGGTTGAGCGCTGGGTTGCGAAGCTGCCCGAAGCCTCCGCGGCGCCGGTTCGATCCCCGGCTGCTCCCCAGCCACCGGAGGAGGGTCCCACATGGCGCGCAGACCTCTCCTGCCGCCCACTGCTCCCCTCAGCAGTGTACTTCGGTCCTTCTGCCTGCTCTGCTCCCCTCTCTGGCTCTGGTGAATTCTCTCACCCTCTCGCGCTTCTGACTGTACCCAGTGCTTGTATAAATAAATAAATAAAAAATAAATCTAAAAAAAAAAAAAACTGGTTGATTCATTGTGTATATGAAGCTAAAGTATGCATATCTTCAAACTATACAGAGGCATAAAATAAAAATTACAAAAGAGAAAAAGATGAAGTATACATTTTAAAATGGAAATCACCCATATCTTTCAGTCCTGTGCTTGTCATTGAAGGAATTTAGGACATGCCACCCCAAAATATGCTGCTTTGGCATAATGATAATTCTAAGCTGAAGGCAGTTGACAAACAGCAGATGCTAGAAGAAATTTCTGCCCTACTCTTTTCTGCCTAAAAATAGGACATAAAATTTCCCGTAAGGTTACAGGCACACTCCCTATATCAGGAAGAGATGAATGTTCTTATCACCAGTGTGGGAACCAATGCTGAAATGTGTCTGTACAAACTTACTAAAATTACCCTCCACAATCTTGCCTCCCCAACATATCTCCTAATCACTTCCCCACAATTTAGTACCCTTAGCCCAAAATGCCCTGTCATGTCATTTCCTCACAAATTTAGCTTCTTTGTCTAAAACCTTTCTGCTCTAATCACTTGCTAAGGTGTCATTCTCTTAGGGATGTCCCATATACATGTAAAAATTTATTAACACTTGCATGCTCTTCTCCTGTTAATCTGTCTTTTATTAGTTTAATTCTTAGGCCAGTAAAGCCTAAGAGAGCAGAGGAAAAAATCTTACTTTTCTATATCTCATAGTGGCATATGCTGGTTCAGTTCTTCAGGAAGCAGGAGCTGAGACTTAAATTAGGTATGCAAATAGTTAATGGAAAGGAACACCAATAACAGAAGAAGAGAGAAGAGGAGATTGGGCAGAGGAAGTTAACATGGCCAGGGAGACAAAGAGACAAAGTCTTCCTCAGCCTAGAGGGGTATTTGGAAGAAAGACTAGAACAGCCTGACCTTGAAGGGGGATGGGGCCAACCTTTGTTCCACCACCTCACTCAGTGTTAACAGAGCACTGGAAAAGAGAAGCCCCAGTGCAACTGTCCTCTCTCCTTGTAGCTGGCCAATAGTTCCCTTCTTTCCTCTTAAAAAAAAAATTTTAATGACATGACATTATAACATTATATAGGTTTCTGATAGGCCACAGGATAACCACAGGTTACCACCAGAGATGAAGGAGAATGGGAGGTGGGTCGACTGGGTAAAGGTGGACAATTATATGGTAGTGCAAACTCTCAATAGACTTCTGGAAATGATCATAATGTACATATATATATCAACACTATATATATATATCAATTGTAATGTTGAAGGAACAGTTGGCCTGTGGGTCTGCTAATCCTAAGCGGCCTGTTCGGCCACCATTTTGTTACCTACAGTTCTAAATCCTAAGCAAGGTCAGAACAGCCCAGTCAATTAGGTATAGGAGGACAACCCCACAAGGTGCCCTCCAAACCAATCAAGAGCACAAAGCTGGATCACGCTGGGAAGGTTATGCATCATGAGGTATGACCAGGAATGCGGGTAGTAGGGGGGGAGCTGAGGACCATGCATAAAATGTACTCCCACTTATACCTCAGGAGGATCACCCAGGAGGGTGGTGGGGAGAGGTGAGAACTGATGTATAATAAGGACCCCAGAAGCTGATGAGTGGAAACCCTTGTTGATAAGATTGAAACCCTGCCTGGGGAACTAGGACTTGATCTCAATGACAATACCAAGTCATCAAGCAGATAAGAAGTGCCTGGAGAGCAGACTCACAATCCCTGATTTCCTAGTTACATACTTCCCCTTTTCCTTTATACATTCTTCCCCTTTTTTTGTCCTTCTTTCCCTTACAACCAATGCTGTATAATTCTTCTATCAATAAAATGGCCAGATCTTGGGCTTCCCTGGTGACGCAAGGGGTCAAGAAGCAACCTATGAAGCAATCCGCACCACTGTAGCACGAGTTCGATTCCTGCCCAGGGAGCTGCCCAGATGGCACAGAACTCTCCTGACTTGCCCACTGCTCCCCTCAGCAGTGTATTTCAGTTGATCTGCTTGTTCTGTTCCACACCCTGTCTCTGGTGAATCTTCTCACCTCCCTGCCACACACACCTCTGGCCTGTATCCCAGCTCTTGTATGCATAAATAAATAAATCTTTTTTTAAAAAAAAAAAAGCCAGATCTTGCTCTTCAGCAGCATCCTGCATTATGTAGCCTGCTCCACGACTCCTGTTTCTTTATCACTATGGTGTTACCCAATGCAACAGTGGCCATACTATATCTTTTTTTTTAATATTTACAGAAACTGTGCACATGCACCATTTGCTGTTATTTTCAACTTAACTATGTTCTGTTTTTACTTCCATATTATTTTATTATTAATGATGCTATTATTACATTTAAATTATTTTAATGTTAAATACAACATAATGTATATATTTAATATAAAACTAATGTAAAAGGATACAGTGAAAACTAAGTCTCTGGGCCAGATTCTTGGTGCCCTAGGCTCCCCTTCCAGAGGAACCACACCTACCAGTTTCTTGCATGTCCTTCCAGAGAGCACCTACAGATAAATGAGCTAATATATGCAAAGTGCTAAAACACTGCTGATAACTCAAACTAAATGCCATATAAGTGTTTGCTGCTAACACAACAGTAACAAAGGAGCTAGCTATATAGAAATGGAA